GAGGCTGCATGGACAGTGCCTCCCCAGCACTGGACACTATCATCCATAGCTATGTACTCCACAGCTGCCTCTGGGACCTGTTGCCACTGCAGCCCAGTGAGCAGCACAGAAGCAGCACAGAGGCAGGCCATCAATTTTGTAATGGTGAGCAATGTAGCAGTAAGAAAAACTCACCTACTGATCAGTTACAGGTGCAATGTATTTCAGAGAATTGATCCCCAAAGTGACAACTATTCTGCCAATGTTATGGTAGATGGAAAACCCGTGAATCTGGGTTTATGATACAACTAGACAAGAAGACTGTAATAGATTACACCCCAGATCCTATCTGTAAACTACTATATTCCTAATTTGCTTTTCCCTTGTGAGTCCTGCATCACTTGAAAACGTCTATACAAAGTGGTATCCAGAAGTGGAATAACATTGTCCCATCGCTCCTATCACCCTACTGGGAATGAGGCTTGGTGTTAGAGATAAGACAGACACAACAGAAACTGCAGAAGAACTTGACTGCGGACACCTGTCCCAATAGGCTATAGCTAAGAAGACAGGTGCTATAAAGTATCTGGAGAGCTTTCCAAGAGCAAACCCCTGAAAGTGTTTGATGAAGTGATCCAGTTATCTGCCAACCTCCCACTAAGAAAAGGAAGAAAGCTGGAAATGTAGCTGGGGGGCTTGCCTCATATACACAAGGCCCTGGGTTTGATGCCCAGCACCAGTTTGGGAAAAGAAAAAAAAGAATGTTCTCAATGTTCTAAGAGTCCCTCATTCTTGGCTCTGTCCCTTGGAACCTTTATATACTTTATTCAAAAATGGTTGAGCCAAAGGTGGGCATGGTGATACATACTGGCAATCTTGGCACTCGGGAGACAAAAGCTAGAAGATCACAAGTTCAAAACTAGCTTGGTCTACATAGTGAGTTATAGGCTAGCCAGGGCTACATAGCAAGACCCTGTCAAAAAAAAAAAACAACAAAAAAACCACACAAAGGCTTTATTCAGTGAGTGAAGTGTGTGTTATACAAACAACAGGACTGGAGTTTGGATCCCCACGTAAAAGCTAAGTATAGCAGTATACATGTGTAATTCCAGTGCTAAGGGGTAAAGACTGGTGAATTCCAGATCACTAATCAGTTGAATCAAAATGAAACAGGGAGCTCCAGGTTCAGCGAGAAACCCTGTCTCAAAATATAAGGTAGAGAAGCAATGGAGAAAGACATCCTGACATCAACTTCTGGCCACCAAATGTACATGCATGGGTGAGCATGCATACACATACACACACACACACACACACACACACACACACACACACACACACACTTGAGAAATGTGGGGAAGGGAGTGGGAGGAAGAAAATGGTGGAACCAATTGGGCTTGATGGTACATATCTGGCATATCCCATAAAACTTGGGAGTTGGAGACAGGAGAATCAGAAGTTCAAGACCAGCCTCAGATACATAGCAGTGAGTTTAAGGTCAACCTGGGCTACATGAGTCCGTCTCAAAAACAAAACCAGAAAACCAATAATAGTAATAATAAATAACGATGATAGGAAAGCCTTTGCACTCAACTCAAGCTTCTATTACAGATAAATGCTTCCACAAATCTATTTTGAACTGGTCAGTCATTTCAATCTTTTGTTTAAAATGCAAGAGCCCACACTTATTAAAATTTAACATTAATTTTTTTGAACTGTGGGGGATGGAGGGCCTATGTGACTGACAGGGACCCAAGTAGTACTCTTGTACCACTGTTCAAAGGTGAGAAGCTGTGCTGTATAGTCCTTGGCATTTTTTGAACTATGTGAATGTACTGTCTACTTAAAAATAAATAAATCTGGAGCTGGAGAGATGGCTCAGTGGTTAAGAGCACTGGCTAATCTTGCAGAAGACCTGGGTTTGATTCCCAGCACCCACATGGCAGGTAAACAACCATCTGTAACTCCAGTTCCAGGGGAATCTGACACCCTCTTCTGACCTCTACAGACATTGTACTACAGATGTGCACTTACATACATGTAGGCAATACACTCATACACATAAAATAGTATTTTTTTAAAAAATCTCTAAAATAAAACAGAAACATTAAATACAATCTATGACTTACCCAAAATGTCATTCTTTTTTTTATTTGAGGGGGACATGCATATCACAGCGGGCATGTAGAGGTCAGAGGAAAAGTTCTGAAGTGCTGAGAATTAGTATTAAATATATGGGCCAGGCATGGTGGTACAGCCTAGCCTATATAGTGAATTCCAAGCTAGCCAGGGGTACACAGTAAGAGTCTGCCTCAAAAAAAAAAAGTTAGTGGAACTGGAGAGATGGATAGCTCAGTGAATAAGAGCATGTACTGTTCTTGCAAAGGACTGGAGTTAATTTTCCAACACCCACATTGAGTGGCTTACAACCACCTGTTAACTCCAGCTCCTGAGGGATTCAATGCCTCTCGCCTCCGCTGACACTCACATGCACATACCCTCACACAGATACATACACATAATTAAAAATAAAATAAATCTTTTTAAAAAACATACTGTATAACCATCTCTAAAAAAGTCCATTCAAGTCAAAATAATTGACAGTCTTGGGAAAAGGGCCACAAAAAGATAAGGAGGGTGAATATAAATTAGAAGGAAAAAAAAATGGGAGCAAAAAAAAATATATACTAATAGCGGAATTCCCCTTAAACTCTTGGGTAGTAAAAAAAAAAAAAATCTAACACTTCCTCTACATTTATGCTACATTATATTATGTTCTTGGATGTTTTGCTTATGGGAAATATCAAAATGTCAACTATTGTTTCTATTAAAGGTCTTTAATGATATTGCATTTTAGACCTGTAATGAAACATGGTGCTCACTGCAGTTTGTAATGCATCTCATTAAATACATTAATAACATGCATTTCACTAAAAGGTCAACTTATTATGGCTAAAGTTTAGCTTTCCTTTAATCACTTCATTTAAAGCTGTACAGCAAACTCTGGAAAAGACAGCAGAGTTCTAGTTGTAGAAATGCCCTCAATTCTTCCAAACTAGTGACAGTAAGTGGGGGTTCATGTGCTCTTCTTCCTCCTTTTCTACAGGCTTGACTGCATAATGAAATTTGTAGAGTTCATCTGGCATTTCCTTAAATGACCTGCCTTCTTCCTTATACACCATGTTACCAACATAAAAGGCCCACTTCTGATAGCATAAAACTTGTGAAAAGAAAGGGGGGAAAAAGCAAACATCTTTGGAGAAGTAGCTTTGTGCATAAAATATCCCTTAATTTTGTTAAAGTTACTCCATGACTCACTGCTTTCATAGCCACTGTGAGACCAGTCTTTGAAATAATTTCATAGTTCAAAAGATGTAATTACCAACATCCAAGGTGACTGAGAACTAAGCATGTATTGGGAAAGGGGAAAAGCAAGAAGCTATTTGTTAAATTTCTACAAAGTAGATTTTGAGGTGCTGATGCTATAAAGACTTGGTACTCAGGAGTTTACTGTGCTGCTACAAGTCTGCTGTTTTAGAGGCTACAATGAAGACTGTGAAAATAAATGACAGTGCAAGGAGAGCACATACTGAGCAAACACAACCTAAGGAAGGACAGGATCCTGTTTTCACTGCAGTTTACCTTGATAGAATAAAAGAGGAACCTGAAACACTGGAGCCTCAGTGGTTAGGACTGCTCACTGAGTCGGGCGTGGTGGTGCACACCTTTGATCCCAGCATTGGGGAGGCAGAGGCAGGCAGATCTCTGTGAGTTCAAGGCCAGCCTGGTCTACAAAGTGAGCTCCAGGACAGCTGGGACTACAGGGAAGACCCTATCTCAAAAAAGACCAAAAAAAAAAAAAAAATTTTTTTTTTAAAAAGAAAGTATTTCGAGGTTAAATGGCAGAAGCTGTTTGTCAATAAGCAAATCTCTAGCAACTTTTCCATAGTGGCATAAGAGGCCAAGGTTTACAAGCATTACAGTAGTATATAACACTAGCCACTTTCCAAAACAATGTTAATTTAAATTACACAGGGATTCTGAACATGAAAAAGATTGAAAAACACTGAAGGCAGTGTCCTGGGATGATGATTAGTTATACTGATGACAATCATTCACATTGCTTAACGTTGTCAAATGTCTTTCAGCAGAGAAAGTTGGAAAGGGCAAACGGAAGCATCTCAGCATGCAAGTAATGAATAGCTATGCCAACCATAGCACACTCACCCCACATCTCCCTGGGCCCCAGTCCCTTGGTGCCACTAGGTACATGGGGGATAATATGGTACAGAAGGACGACTCCTAATCTAGGAGGGAGAAAAGCTGGAGTTTTGTCTCTGCTGCTTGTGAACAAACTCTGTAACTTTGGCAAGCTGTCTTTGGACATCGTCATTGTCTCTGGACCTCAGTCCTCTCCTCTATAAAATGAGGGAATTAGGAATCAAATAATCTCTAAATTATTTTTCTCTAGAATTCTTTGAGTTTAGAACTCAATAATGCTCTTCCAAAATTTGTTCTTTACCTGAAGTCATTGTTTTTCCCTCACTTCTTGTTATCCAAAGATAGGAATAAACAGTATTTAGCACGTTGTTCTAAAAACCTCCCTCATAGAGAAATGTATCTTTTAACATGATACAACCATCATAAGAATTGAGTTAAATCATTCTCTCCTTTTTGTTCTATACCAGTAAGCTTTCAAGTAACATTCCCTAAGAATTTAAGAAGTAATTCAGGAAGCCAAGGGAAGGCTAGAGAGTGACATCAGGTAAGAAAGTGAAGTAGACATGACTCAAACACCTGCTAGACTTCAAAGCTGTTTTCATTTGATAAGTGGGTTATATTGCTATTTTTAAAAGAATAGGTGAACACCTCTTGGCCTTTAAGATCATGACTGGTCAAAACCACTATGCTATACTATAATATCACTAAAATGAAATCTCTTTATCCTTTACATCCAACCCATTATATCCCAAGATACCTCAATAGTTCAAACCAACCCGATGGTTTAAGTATTTACTTACTATTTTTTAGGGCACTGGAAAATTCTGGGCCACCTTTGTCCTTGAAGACAGGGAAAACATCTGGTTGAGGTAGTTGATTGGTGGTCAACAGAGCTTTTTGTAGTTTGATCCTCCCTTCCAAGAGTTGGTCCCACAATGCTGAGGAAAAAAAAAGAGAACCCCATCCCTGAGTTACAAAATCTTCCAGAGATGGCACCAGAGGAGGGACAGGAAACAACACTGGCCTCTAAGCAACATGCTTTATACTTTTCCTACCATAGAAACAGTCTTTATTCTAGAAAGTTACTCAATTGATAGAAATATTTGCTACAAGAGAAGACATGCTAAGTCAAGGAAACGAGAAGACATTCTCCTTTTCAATCTTCTACAGCTGCCACAAGTACTAGGGCAGAACCAGCTAAGCACAGAGGACCTGGGGCTTAGGCCTCTGGGTGATGCATGTCACATACTAATTGAAAGGATACTCGAAAGAATAGCCAAAAACAAACAAGCAAGCAAGCAAACAGATCAAATGCAGAAACTCTGAAAAATCAAGCAAGAGGCAAAAATCATACACAAACCTATCTGATTCTTTACAGCTCTTCCTTTCTCCACTTCCTCTGAAACTTTGACACTGGAGAAGGTCATCACCACACCATCATCTTCACTGTTCCTGTCTCCTTCCCTGTCTTCCTCCACATCCCCTTCATCCATACTGCTCTCTTCTTCTTCATCCTCCTCCTCTTCCTCCTCCTCCTCCTCCTCCTCCTCCTCCTCCTCACTGCTCCCAACATCATCCATTTCCTCTGTAAATTTCTCAAAGTCACTAATACTCTGGAAACTGAAGCCTAGCATTTCTGCAGAGTGCATTCCCTTCTTCCTCCGAGACAGACTGCTCTTGCCATCATCCTCAGCATCTTGTTCCTCAGCAGCACTTAGGTCATCTTCTGATTCTTCCAGGCCCAGGCCCTCTGAATCTCCATCTCCAGATCGTTCTTCATCAGATATTTCCTTGTCTAAATCAGAAAAAAAAGGGAGGGAGGGAGTTAGTTACTTGGAGAAAAGTATCAGGTCACATCTTTCATTTCAATTACTGAAATGTACTGTACTTTATTCAACTGAACAAATATGTACCATATATTACTATCTCTAAATGCTAAGAGGAAACAAAAATGAACAGAAACATGAGTCTAACCTAAAGATAGTGGGAGACATAGACCATAAAAGCTGTAATACAGAAAAGAATGAAAGTACTCTAAAAGCGCTTCATGCCATCCATAGTAGCTTACCCAGTGTAATTCCAAGTACTCAGGAGACATAGGTAGGCAGTTTACTTTGAGTTCAAGGCCAGCCTAGTCTACACAGCAGGCTCCAGGCCAGTCTGGGCTACAAAAGTGAGGCCCTGTCTCAAAAAAAAAAGAAAAAGAAAAAAAACAACACCCAAATGCTCCTTTATTACCCCACAGGAGAGAGAAATGTTTGTATACAGGGCAAGAAAACTTAAGAAAAATTAAGGGAGAAGTAATCAAAGCATAGTGGCACATACCTGTAAACCCAGCAAGCTCTCAGGAGGCTGAGGCAGGAGGATGGTAAGTTCAAGGCTATGGGCTACATAGCAAATTCCAGGCTAGCCAGATCTATCTCAAAACAACAACAATAAAAATGGAGAAGTTAACATTTCATTTGGACCTTAAAAAAGATAAGATTTGCCAGGCATGGCAATGCATGCCTTTAATCTTTAATGCCAACATTTGTCTACACATTGAGTATAGGCCAGCCAGGGCTACAGGGTGAGACTGAGGAACTAAATCCCTGACAAACAGGTACAACACAGATTAGTAATAAGACTGGCACACTTAGCTGTGTGTGGTACATGCCTTTAATCCCAGCATTCAAGAGGCAGAGGCAGGCTGATCTCTGTGAATTCAAGGCTAGCCTGTTCTACATAGTGAGGTCTAGGCCAGCTAGGGATACAGGGAGACCTTGTCTCAAAAAGACCGAAGAAAAAAAAAAAAAAAAAAAGAATGGCTCACTTAAACTAGGTGTGGTAGAAGGTCCCAGTACTCAGGAGGCAGAAGCAGGTCCAGCCTGGTCTAAATAGCAAGTTCCAGGTCAGCTGTGGCTACAGGGAGATCCTGTCTCAAAAAGACCAGAAAAAAAAAAGAGAAGAAAAAGAATTGTACACTTCTGCCTGCCCTTTTCTTGGTGAGACAAAGGCCTTAGGGTTCCCCCTCTAACCAACAGGTACCCCCTCCAGGCTAGCCATTCGAGACCAGTTCAGGTAAGACCAAGGTTTGATTTGAGGACAGAATCTCAGCTTGGAACTATAACCTATTGGCTCTCTCTTCTTTGTTTAAGTTGACCAATCCAAAATTAGAGTAGGACCCACCAAAAACACTTGAAAGGCCCAAGTTCTCCTGGGTGCTTTGGATTTTTTGGTTTCCTAACCCCCTACTCGTGGAGAGCTTTTCTCTCTCTGTATAAGTGTTTGTATATGTTGTGTTTCTTTACTTTCAATAGTTTGTTACCACTTGCTTTCTGCTGAGTCTGAAATTTTTCCTGCCTGTTAATTCTTTAATTGGTGGAGAAAATGAACCTGACCAAGACCCCTGAATGGGAACAAGACCTTGTCTCAAAAAACAAAACAAAACAAAAAACAGATGAACTGGTGTTTGGGAATTACCAGTTTTCCCAAAGCTGCCAGTGAGAAAGTTTCTGATTAGCTATCCCAAAGGTACAATCTGTACTATATCATACCAGTGTACTCCACTGAATATTAAGTACCCATCAAGAGTCAGTTAGCAGCTGGGTGTGGTAGCGCACAACTTTGATCCCAGCACTCAGGAGGCAGAGATCTCTGTGAGTTCAAGGCCAGCCTGGTCTACATAGCACATAGTGAGTTCCAGGTCAGCTGGGCTATAGGGAGACCCTGTCTCAAAAAAGACCCCACCCCACCCACAAAAAAGTCAGCTAGCTATCAAAGCTAAGGAAGGGTAACAGACTATAATATCTGCTGTGCTGATAAGTATGTAACTTGCTTTTTTGATTTTTTTTTTTTTTTTGGCCTTTCTGAGACAGGGTCTTCCTATAGCCCCAGTCGGCCTGGAAGTCACTATGTAGATAGATCAGGCTGGCCTTGAACTCATAGAGATCCACCTGCCTCTTCCTCCAGAATGTTGAGCTTAAAGTCTACCACCATGCCCAGCCTACTTACTTCTGATTTTATGGAGCCCACAGTTAAGAGTTTGGACTTCTAAAGTGTTGAAACTTTTTTTTTAATTATTTATTTAATAACCACATACTTAGAAGAAGCATTTCATTACATCAGCATTGACATATTCAATAACAATTTTCTGAGCTAGGATGGATCTCTTACAAAACTGGCTGTACATTTTTAGGTTTACAGTTGAATTATAAACTTTTAAAAACATTTTATTGATTATTTTTATTTTTTATCTGTATGAGTGTATTACCAGCATGAATTTAAGTGCACCTGTGTCATGCAATGCCTGAGGAGGTCAGAAGAGGGTACTGGAGCCCCTGGAACTGAAGTTACAGATGGCTGTTACCTGCCATGTGGGTGTTGGCAATTGAAATTGTGTCCTCTGCAAGAGCAGTCAGTGCTCTTAACCCCTGAGCAAACTCTCCAGCCCCAAGTGTTGGAACTTTTAAAGACTTTGAGGGCCTTTTTGGGGTTTGTATTTTATATTATGATATGATAGTACCGTGAGGCTTGGGGACAACAAATGAAAAGATATAGCTTAAAAGCACTTGTTTGTACGTCAGGCTGACAAGAAGTAGATAGTGCTGGTTAAGAATCACCTGGTAGGGGCTGGAGAGATGGCTCAGTGGTTAAGAACACTGGTTTTTCTTGCAGAAGACCCAGGTTCAAATCCTAGCGCCCACATGGCAGCTAACAACTGTCCATGATTCCAGTTCCAGGGGATCCGATGGCCTCTTCTGTCCTCCACAGGCACTGCACGACACTGGTATACTTACCTACATGCAGGCAATATACTCATACACATAAAATAAAAGTAATAAATAAAATATTTTTTTTAAAAAAAAGAATCACCTGGTAAAGATTCTTAAGGAGGAATTATCTAGATCAGGTTAACCTGGGAGTATGTCTATAGGGGACTGTCTTGATTGTAGGCAGCACCATTCCCTAAACTGGGATTCCTAAGAGTGTACAAGAGGAGAACACTAACTGAGAGCAAGCAAACAAACAAGGAATCATTTATTCTTTTTGTTCTTAACTATGGATGTGATGTGACTAGTTGCTTCAAGCTCCTGCCATTTTGACTTCCATGCTATGATGGACTGAAACCTGGAGCCATAACTCAAACTCCTTTCTTTTCTAAGTTGCTTTTGTCAAGATAGTTTATCACATCAACAAAAATAAAATTAGGACACCTTCAAAGTGAATTTCAAAGTCTTATAGGAGTGGTACACAGGCATGCCAATAATTATATGACAATGTCATCAACAGACAGTATATAGGAAAGGAACCAGACAGGAGTACCAAAAAAAAAAGAATCAACAGGTGGACACATATAATCCCTGATTTAGAAGACAAAGGCAAGAGGACCACGGCAAGTTCAAGGACAGCCTAGTCTACATAGTGCATTCCAGGCCAGTCAGGACTACATAAAGAATTCCTGTCTCCTCCTCCCACTTTCACTGCTCCCCCCTCAGAAAAAAAGAAGAAAAGGAATCTTACCTAACCTTCCAGAAAAGGTTAGGAATGGCTTATGTGGAAACATTATGTAGCATAAGGAACAGCTCATCAGAGAATGGGGAAGGAAAAGAATATAGTGCAGTGTGCACAAGGAAGTGATGGGACAGGAACCTAGAGAGTTGTCAACAAATCAGGACCAGTCCTAACTTCCAGGGGAAGGAGTCTCTACTCAATCTTATAGCATGAATGCTAGTTAAGGTTCCTGGTTTTACTTACATAAAACCTGACATTTAGAAGGGTTTTTGTTTTTGGTTTTGATTTGTTTTACCACCTCTTCCATGGTAGACTATAAAAGCTCCATGTATAAGAAGCACGATCATTTGATATAGGCAACAAGTCGCCAACAACCTCAGTCAATAAAATAAGAATTTTATGAAAACAGGATGATCTTCAGTATTTTTTCAAGAAATGCACATAAACTTAAACTGGCCGGCTTTCGTTTAAATCCTGTCTCTTTCACATAATAGTTGCATGACTTTTACTTCACCAATTAGTCCTTCACATTCCTGTATGTAAAACAGGGATAAATAATACTAACTTCTTGAGCTACTGAGAAGATTCGATAGGATGACACAGGTAATGATAATGATGGCAATATGCTTTGAAGACTGTGTCCTAAGCTCTCAGAACTTACAGAGATAATCAAGCAGCTGACACATGGTGAGAACTCAATAAATATTATATTTGTCTCATGATTGGTCTCTTTATCAGTCTTTAGACAAAAAATTTAAGAATATGAAATACACTTATCAGGAGCTCCCAGAACTACATCAAGAACTAAATGATACATATTATAATCTGAATAGTTCCTGGTATATTATCAATGGATTCTCAACATGGCATCACTGACCTCCCTAAAGGAAAATAAATGGCATCCTCTCAACATCCACATCCAGCCTCATCTTCCACCTTGAGAAACTATTGTTTAAAACTGTAAGCTCTGCTGGGTATGATGGCGCACGCCTTTAATCCCAGTGCTTGGGAGGCAGAGGCAGGTGGATCTCTGTTGAGTTCCAGGCCAGCAGGGGCAACAGGGAGACGCTGTCTCAAAAAAGACCAAAACAGAAAACAAAAACCAAAAAACTGTAAGCTCACATCTTCCTAATCCATAATGGAAGTACTACGTTATTTTTAGAATGACAAAACGTAAGTTTTATAATAACTAACATACAGAGAACCAAAGCAAAACCTGGAAAACAGAAAGTGTCAAAATCTAAGAGCAGCAAAATCCAAGGGCTCATGAGACATAATTAGTTTTTGAACACATAGCTCTTGTCAATATCCAGTATGCACTGCCCATTTTTTTCATTCATTTTTGGTTGAGTAATTATTCTGAGCATTAGGGAAAGAAATTTCATCACCCTCGGTTTTAGGTTTCTTTTTGTCTTTTTAAAACAAGGTCTCAAGTAGCCAGACTGGCCTTGAATTCTTGATCCTCCCGCTTCAGTCTCCCCAAGTGCTGAGATAACAGGTGCATGTCTGGCTGGGCTTTAGGTTTCTTATGAAGTGAAATAGTGATCCCTAAGGCCCTTGACAGTATCAAATCAATGGTCTCCCCTAAAATAAGTAGGGACACAGAGACTTCCAGAAAGCATCCAGAAGAAACAAAACAAGAGTTTAACCCTACAAAACTGGAGGGGGCGGAGGTTCCATGTAAATACATGTACTCACCATATGAACCTGGCAGAGTCCGCTCCCAATGGTCTTCCTTCCAAGCCTTCCTAGAAGTGGTCTTGCCAGAATACCTTTTGTCTGTGTCCAAGAGGGAGGACGATGCCAATTTTCGAATGCTACTCACTGCCAAGAAATCACCTTCCTCCTCTTCCCCTTCATCAAACCTGTCAATCACTCTGGCAGCAGTGGCTGTGGGGAGGGGAAAAAAGGAATCAGAATCTCAAGTTAGAAGGAACTTTAATTGGAACCCTGTTAAGCCATTTCAACCCCACACAACACTCTCCTGTGCTAGCTGAGTACTGTACCAACTGAACACATCCCCACCCCTCAATTCATTCTTGAGTGTTCTCCACAAAATCTCCACCAATTTCCAGAAAGAGGGAACTTATCAATGGTTTCTAGGGAGACTACTATCCTATTGCTTTCTGTTTCTAAGAAAGCTAACTTCCTGTATCTACTAGTAGACACATTCCTATGCCTTGAATCCTGTGAGTCTAGCTCTTCCCTGATCCCTTCTCCATGGTATTTTGTTTCTTTTTCTTTGGGAGGTTTTGAAGATTAAATGCAGAGCCTAAAGCGCGCTAGACTACATGCCTGAGGATCTTCGTTTCCCCTCGATGTGTGCCAGTCACTCCAGTATCTTACATCAGTCAACAAGTTCCAGTCATTCCATCCCATCCCTCTAGTTTTCTTCACTTATTCTGGCTTAAAAAACTCCCAGTCCCTTCACCTGACATTCCCAAACCATGGCTCCTAATCTCTTATCCCTTCCTCACACTTCTGTGACTCAAGTCTACAGCACGATTACTTCCATCTAGGCTCTGAACAGGCTTACAAAACATCAGTCTGTCATTAGACCCTGAGCAAGTGTCCTGCGACTTTAAATAGCACCAAGGAATATTATGTCATGTTCCAAGCAAGTTTTTAGAGGCGGCCGGTTTTGCCGGTTTTAAACACAAAAAAAAACAAAAACTGATCAGAGTTCTCCGTTCTTTCTAAAGCTACACAGGAAGGGCATCTAGTTGCCAGTCTGCAGCCATAGTGATCCATTCCGACATCTCCTTGGGTTCCCGCCCACCCACCAGGTCTACACTCCTCGCGTCCTCCTCCAACCCTCTCGGGGTCAAGCCTCTTGCAGAGGCAATTTTCCTCCGCGCCAAGGTTAGAAAAGCACCCGGGGCCTGCCCCACTTCTACTTCGGGCCCCCCAGCTCCGCACGTGGCCTGCCCCCGTAAGGCCTCACCCTCCTCCGGGTCGGCCTCAGGATCCACCTCGCGCGGCCTGGGGTTTAACAACTGTTCCAGCTGCAAGGCCAAGGGCTGAGGCCCCGCCATCGTCACCAGGTTCCGGTCCGCGCTGCGCTCGAGAACCCGCAGCCTGAGCGCAGTCCAGACGCGGCCCCCCGGGGGCTCTCGCCCAACAACACTGCGCACCCCGGCTGAGACCGCACGGAACCTCCACTTGGCATGCGGCAAGCAACTTCCGGGAGACCCGCGCGAGGGGCGGGGCCTCGCGTCTCCACAGACGTTGCTAGGCTGGAGACGCAGGCGCACGGAATGCCGAGGGCGTCGTAATGCGCCTGCGCCCGAGTCTGGACTGCGTGTCGGGGCAGTGTGGGATAGCGCCGGGGCACGTGACCCCCTCAGGCGTGGAGCGCTGGTTGCGATTCACTCTGCCAGCGTCTCCTTGCATAAAATATGCGTCAAGCTTTGTGTGAGGTTCGTTTAGGAATGAAGCGTGAGGTAGCCGTGGCCCACTGTGGCTGGCTTTGTGAAGGGTAAGCTTTTCAAACCTCGATTACACCCGAGCAAGCACAGACTCGTACCCCGGACGGAAGAATGGCTTTTCACTGCCTAATGGAACCTGGGTCTGGGCACAACATCTTCAGTCCCTGCGCAGCCAGGATTTGGGGGTCTGCGTGTGCAAGTGTGAGTGGAACTGCTATCTTCGTTAATAGGAATAATTAGGAATAGCCATTGCTGTACCACAATCAAGATCCTTTCTGGAGCTTCTCCAAGTAGCCATGCCTGAGCCACCAAAAGGGGGGTGGAGTCGGAATTACTGTACTACACACCTCCATCTGGATAGATGTCCTTTTCGAAGATGAGGGCGGCTCACACACCCGAACCTGGTGCACAAATGCAGAAAAGAAACCCCTCACTCAGGTCAGACTCAAAATATAAAGTCCTGGGGCTGGAGGAATGACCCAGTGGTTAAGAGGACTGGCTGTTCTTGCGGAGAACCTGGGTGGGTTCAATTCTCAGCACCCATGTGGTGGCTAACAACCATCTGTAACTCCAGTTCCAGGGGATCCGACACCCTCTTCTGACCTCCGTGGGCATTGCACGACATGGGTGCACTTACATGCAGACAATACACTCAAACACATAAAATAATCACTAATAAATATTTATACATATATAGTCCTTGGTAAGATAAGTTTAATTGCACCCAGGCACATGAAAAGATGCAATGATTTGACATTCTTCATGGAGCATTCCCTGACTGCCCACTATGTGGCAGGCACTGCTAGATGAAATACAAGATAAGTTAGATTCTCTCCACACAGTGATCAGCCTAGAGGAGCAACAAACATGGAAACATAAACAGCAATGGAGAATGACAAAGTGAGTATAAAGTGGCCTATACTGATCTGTTGGAAGTCTTCTGTGAAGACCTGGAATTTTCTGTAAACAGAAAAGCTGCCTCAAAAGAATCCAGTAAAAGACATGAGTGATAGATACACTGTGACAGTGCCTGTTTGTTTGTTTGTTGTTTGTTTTTGAGACAGGGTCTCACTATGTAGCCTTGGCTGGCCTGGAACTCCCGGTGTAAACCAGGCTGGCCTTGAATTCACAGAGATCCACCTTCCTCTGCATCCCAAGTGCTGGGATTAAAGTTGTACACTACCATGTCCAGCTTGTTTGTTGAGGCAGGGTCTCCTGTCCCAGGCTGGTCTCCAACTCACTATGTAGTTGAAGATGACCTTTAATGCCTGATCTTCCTGCCTGTACTGGGATTACAGGCATGTACCACCACACTCTATTCGTGTGATGCTAGGGATTGAACCCAGGATTTAGTACATGTTAAGCTCTACAAGCCAGTTGGAGTCCAGAGCTGAGCAATGCAGGCAACTCTTAGCTCCCTAATATCTTCGGTGGAATCCAAAGGAAGACAATCCCTGACTTTCAGCGCCTTCAGAGACCCCCAGATTCCAACAAAGAAAGTTCACTACTCTAGTATGGCCTGTCCCATGTCCCTGTCCTAAGTGCTCTTAGGTGAAATGACCATGGTTACAAAGGAGAAAGAGAGACTGCATTAGCGTAAATCCTCTCAGACATGGAGAGTAAAGAATGTCAGACTAGGCAGAGGACTCAAGAAAATCTCTGCATTGTTGAGAACAGTTTCAAGGGTTTGTTTTTAAGTATACCCTCTGTAATTGCAGTCTTGTACCTGTTTCTGGGCCTCCAGAACAAAAATGTGCTCCTCAGTCCTCTACAAAGTGCCATTGCCCTGGGCTTCAAAGAACAAAAAAAATTCTCCCCACATTCAGTAAATTACCTCCCCCAATCCTCTTCCCTTGCTATTTCAGGCAGTAAGAGTCAGAAATCTGTCCTTCAAGGTAAGGAGAAAGGAGAAATGGAGAGAAGGCAAGTCAGAGACCACCTCTAAACTGCCATTCATACAGACACTGCTGGCCCATTTGAGGCTGTGCTGGGCAAACAACATAAACCAGCTTCCCCATGCTCCCTTCCTTGTCCTGCTGCTACTGACTTGGGAATCATTTTTAGAAGGGAATCAAAAGCACTCTAGTCTCTTACACATATCACAGTTCAAAATGCTTCCCCTGTTTCTTGCCCTTACTGAAAGTAGGAAGAAGATTCCTGGAATGGAGAGAAGGGGGAAAGAATTATAGACCTTAAGATGCAACTAAGGGGAGTCGAGGCAAGGGGAATGGAAGAAACCTCTCAGAGGCTCCCTCTGGGGCGGGGCCCCTTCCCTAATTGCATTCTAGTTCCTTGAGGTGTGGTTGAGGGGTTCCTGGATGGAGGGTTGGGGATGAAGATGGAGGGTACACTATGGGAGGGGACATGTGAAGGATGGTATATCTTCCTAGAAGAAATTTCAACCTCTAGCAAGGAGAGCAGATGAGATGTGGAACATAAAGGTGAGCAGTCTGACCTCTGGAGAAAAGGCAGGAGGGGTTCAGGGTTCATTTCCCTTTGCCTACCGTCTGAGTGGCAGGCTGATTTCAGGGATAGCCATGGATGGGCAGAGGTGACAATTAGACACCTCCCTCAAGGGTCAGAAGCAGCCAGTATTTCAAGAGTTTAGGGAAACCAGGTTCTGATCTGACTGCCTTCCTTAACAACATCAAACAACAGACCCCTGACAGGCTTGTCCTGACTTTCCACTGATATGCCAGCCTTAGTTTGCCTAGCATCAAAACAGTTCCCCAAAGCTTGGCCGGCGGGAGATGCTGAGTAGGGAAGGGAGTCCCTTGCCAGCATAGATGGCAGCTCCATGTGGCTGGAACCCTGAGGGCAGGTAGGTTAGGGTTAGGTGGCAGGCAGCACAGAAGTGGTGGCTTTAAGATGGCCACTGGGAGGAATCAGGATTGCCAAAGTCGGCCTAGAGGAGACTGCCCTCATGGGTGAGAGTGGCCGAGAGGGGACTTAAGTGTGCTTCCCTTCCCAGTCTCTCCCGGGGCCTCTTGTGGGAGTGGTACGGTCTTCCACATGACTCTGGGCCAGAGGTGCCGCAGCACTGCTGCATAGATGGGAACGCGACCAGCCCCTGCCATTTCTAAATCTCTTCTTCCTGGGCCTTTAGTTCCAGATTAGACTGCTGAGCATTGCCACCCGTTCGGATATTCACTGGATTTCAAGGTACCACGCCGCCGCCGAGGGAAAAGACTGAGCCACCCGCCAAGGTGTTGGAATCCATACCGCCTGCCCAACTCTAAAGTGCTTCTTTCAAATATTCTGATACCGCAATAAAGCTGCTAAATAATTCAGCAGCCTTGATAGGAAAATGCCACTTTCTGATGAGCATACGTTCAGTTAAAGGAATATTTTTAAGGGGGAAGGTTACAGGATGGTGGCTATAATGAATGTTAGCTATGATTTAAAGCATATAACTACTACAAAGGGAAAAACATACAGACCTAGTGATTGCATATAAAACAGATAAAATGTACTGTATGCAGAGGCTAGGAGTTTTGAAAGCCTTTCTTGTATTTCATAAATGTTTATTTCTGAAAGAACACTGCCAGATTCCTCCCTGATAGCCCGCATTAGATAAGCCTTCATAGGGATGTAATGAAATATTGCTTACTTTAAAGCCTTCTCCACAAGAAAGATAAACTTGACTGTGTCTTGACAAAATAAGAAAACAGCAGTGGAAATTACATGCAATTTAATGTAAATTGTTTTATTCATTTTTTTAAATAAGGAAGTAAATAATCCAGACTGAAAATCTAGGTGACATGGTAAAGAAATTCTGGGACTCTAATATTGTGTGCTGTTGAAACATACTCATATACCCACACAATTAGTGTTTCATCGTAGGAAACATTCACATTTCTTCCATTTCTAATGAAGTCTGGGAAAGAATTAAACTATTTTCTATAACCTATTGGCAACTCCCAGTTGAAATTTGATTTCTATATTGGTTATTTTGTTCATCTTTCACAGAAATTTAATATGTATCTTATGCCAGGCAAAATAGTTTTCCTCTTGGGAACTTCAAATGTAGCAAATAGTATAAAATAACAATTTCCTATTAGTTCTTTGAAAGGGATTAAAGTATTCCTAGTTATACTAGTACATTCATTGTACGTTATCTTTCAACCCAGCAAATTAGAAAGCAGGATTTTCTATGGAAAATGAATTGAAACTGAAAAAGACTGTCTCTAATATATATTTACAAGTGTCTGTTATTCAAAATCCCGGTTTTTCAAGTGCAGGGAGGGGAGAGGGTACTTCTGATTGCTCACCTAATCACAGACCCGTACCACTCGCTTTTTTTCTATCCACGGATTTGAGTTCTATTTTCAATTCTATATTAACTTATCGGCAAATATCTCTTCAGCTGTATCAGTTAAACCCACAGAATGCAAATCTGTACTTAATAACAGCAGGAAGCCAAAAATCCTGGCAAAGGGGTTTAGCCGCAGTCAAGGTGAAAACAGATACTTCTCCTGACTTCTGAGTGCCTCTGTTCAGCACCCATTGGGAGTCCCCTCTAGTTGTTGAAAACATCCAATACCACACCAATTATCTAAACATCAGATTTTCTATTTTTATTAAAAACTCACAAATTTATTCAACATGTTTTCTTTCATACAGTGAATGGTCTAATATGCACTGGAGGTCACACAAGCTTAGGTTTATTAGAACAATAAAAGACATATGAGAAATTTAATATATAAAGAAAAAAGTAGCAGCTGTTGACTGCATATTTGACCATAAAATTTAAATATTTTGGACTTTTATTTTAAAGACACAAAAATAAAACCTGTGTGGGTCTATATAAGTCATATTAACAGTTCCATGAATGTTCAACAGGACTAAAAATTAGCAAAGATGTTTTTTAAACCTTGTAACACTTTTTTTTTTAACACTTCCTCAGGTTGTTGGTGCCAGGCACCATTACAGTATTTGTGCTATAATTATTCTATTTGGCAACTGTCTGAATATCGTGTTTTCTCTTTGCCTCGTGTAAACAACACCTTTTTACATACTAGCACAGTGAGCTGCAAGCCCTGCAAAATCTGTCAGAACATCTACAGGAAAAGAAAAGGAACAATTTTGGTTGATTGCTCAAAACATTTTGCTTTTGAACAAGAGGTTTCAAAACAGGGTATCTTAGTAAAACACTGAACTCCTGAATTTAACTTTATACGTAAACAGTTGACTGTTTTTTAGTTCAATAGTCTTTTTTTTTAAACGTGTGTTTGTGTGTGTGTGTGTGTGTCTGTGTGTGTGTGTGTGTGTGCGCGCGCGCGCGCGTGCAACGCACCGCGCAGGCATGTGTATGAAGGTAGAATACTTTTCTTGTAGAGCTGATGTTCAAGTCATTTTACTGCAAGGTCTGGCTGCATGGGTGCTAGCGGAAGAGAGAGAGAGAGAGAGAGAGAGAGAGAGAGAGAGAGAGAGAGAGTAGAGGGAGAGACAGAGACAGAGACAGAGAGAATGAGAATTTGTGAAGGTAGAAGAGTTGATACTGAGGGCTTTACATTTAGAATTTTGCAATTTTGGCAAAAACAAAAAATAAAAACCCAGATAGACAAAAAAAAAAAAAATATATATATATATATAGTCCCACCTGATGCACAGCAGGCCGTTGTTTCTGAAGCTATAAGTTTGCTGTTGACGCTGAACTCTGAGACATCCCTAAGGGAGCTCTCAGAACTAGGACCCTCCAGGCTGGACTGCCCCCGACAGCTTCTCCTCCCTCACCCAGCTGAGTGCCTCCGGGCCTCCCTCCCCAGGCTCCTGGCATCACCTAGGGTTGTGTGCGCCTGCAGCTGTCGTAGATGTCTTTCGGCTAGCCAGAGGCACCGGCCCCACGGAGTGGGTTCACGGATTCAGGCCCAGGTGGAACGTTGGGGAGAGCTCTGAATTCCCCTTCCGGAGCCCCAGTTCTGCGCTTTTCCAGCCAGTGCGTGGATCTCCGTTCCACCTCGAAGGGGATTTGGATCCTATTTTAAACCTCCTTTGCCATCCAGTCTCCCCAAACAGAGAATGGTCCCCAAGGCTGGAGGAAGTGGAGCAAGAGGCTTGCTTTTTATGTTTTTCTTTTCTTTTTTTTTTTCATGTTTTTCTTAAATAAAAGTTCATTTCTGTACAACCACAAACTCGGTGGACCGTGGGAGACCCGGCTACCACACGGCCGCCTCGTTCATTTCAGGAGGGTGGGACAGGTGGTTCCCGTAGCTCGCCCCACCATTAACGGACAGAGACGAGAAGGGTGGGCTGGGCCCGAAGACCTCCGCCGACATAGAGTGCAGAGGCCCGGGCAGGCTGGGCTCCGGGCTGGGCGAGTCCCCAGAGGGATGCGCCAAGATGTCGGTGAACCGCTGCGCCTCGCTTGAAGGGTGGTGGCCGGGCAGCGGGTGGTCCAGGCCTCCCAGTGGTGTCCCCGAAGGCCCGGAAGAGGGCACGAAGGGTAGGTCCACAGGTGTCTGGGCTTGAGAGGACGGGGGTCCTTGCGGGAAGAAGTCGTAGTTGCCCCCGGGGCCGTAGTACTCGCTCTGGTAATCTGCAGAGCGGCGAGGAGAACGGGATGTCAGGGTGGAACCCTGAGTAGAGTGGGACAGACAGGATGGGAAAGCACGGCCGCCAGGGGAACTGGCTGTTTGTGGGACTTAGGAGCAGGATTGAGGCTTGGCACAAAAACCCCAGCTGCTCCCTACCCGGGGATCCTCCTCTCCTCGGGGTTGGGATTTCGGCTTTAGCTCTTCTCAGCACCTCCCCTGACTTTCTCCCCAGCCTGCGCTCTTCCCTTGACTCCGTTCCTCGACAGAAAGTGACAGATACCTTCGGCAACCACCCGCTTCCAGCGAAGCCCAAGCGGGCCTGCCACTCACCTCCATAAAAGGAGAAGGGACCGTTGGGGATGAGCTCCCCCGGCTCCAGGCGGTCCACTAGCGGCCGCATCCGACGCGGACTGCGAAAAAAGGCGTGGCGCCTAGCGCCTAGCGCGCTTAGCTGCTTCATCCTCCGCTCCTTGGAACGTCGGTTCTGGAACCAAACCTGAAATACACATGGACTGGATGAGACTACCGAGACTCCACTGGCCAGTCCGGCGCACCCCTTCGCTGCCCAGATCGCCCACTGGGCTTCCGGAGCGCTCAGGTTTGGTTCGTGTGTGTAAGAAGTGGTGGGGTCTCTCAATAGGACCAGGCAAGGCAGATGCTGGGCCAAGATGAGTCCCGACTGCGAGGTCTAAGCCGACGGAACTGTATTGTCTGGCGTGAAGCAGTTGCCGTAAAGCCGAACTATTTATAATAGTCACACACTCACCATTACATTATCTTAGGGACTGTATACACATAGACACCGAACCTTTCCAAAAGAGTGCCACACATAGCTTCCCTTTTAGGGTCTCTTGCAGTCCCTACCCCCATACCATGAGAGTGACAGGGATACAGAAAGCTTCCCTGCTGTTTCCCAAAGGAAGTGCCACCAAAATTCACAATCTATTCACAATCTCCCAGTGCCAAACATACTTAGCCATAGACTCTCACCAATAGTGACAGACAACCCCACATTCATGACCATAGGTTCACACAGCCTTCCAGAGGCCTCAGAGCCTACTGCAGAGGGCTGCCTGCTGGAACACTTCCACAGGCACAATCAGCCTCCCAGGCACATACATCTACAGCCTACAGGCAAACAGATCAGACACCTAGCATTGGGCCAGACTCCTGCTGCCTTAGCCACACTCTATCTGGCCTTTTCCCAATGCAGAGGCCCAGCTACCTGCAGATGGCCTAGCCTCCCCATCCCACTCCAGACATGTATCTAGGGAATGCTGACTTCCCACATAACCATCTCTCCTTCAATCTAGGATGCCCCACCTACTTGGGAAGGGCAAGTCTGCTCTGGGGTTTGTGTAACTGGGTTGAGACCCACACAATTGGGGTTGGAAACTTGAGAGAGAGAGAGAGAGAGAGAGAGAGAGAGAGAGAGAGAATCTTGTGCAGAAACCAGAGGAACTGAATCACTGGAGCCCATAACCACCTCTCTGCTCCTTATCAAGGGTGGGAGTGGGACAGGATGTGTGCAGAAAGAAGGATGCTGGTTGTTGCTGTGGTGTTGGACTTCATGCCTTCCTCCAGCTTTATGCCCAGCTTCAAACCCATCCCCTTTCTTAGCTATTATCACCACTGTGCTCATAGGAAGAAAAGAGGTTTTCTCTTGTTCCAATGTATCAATCAACTTTTCATTACCCCACTGGTTGAGGCCTCCCCCTATTCACTGGAAGCTTCCATGAGCTCTGGGCTCTCCCCAGGCTCAGCCTGGGTCCCCTTAGTAGCCATGTGGGTCTTTGGGTGATAGAGTGGCAAGGCCTGGACTCTGACCTGGATGACACGCATGTTGAGGCCAGTCTCCTGAGCCAGCTGCTCTCGGATGTGGCGTGTGGGCTTGGGTGTAGCTGCAAAGGCTGCCTTCAGTGTCTCCAGCTGCTTGGCTTTGATGGTGGTTCGGGGTCCCCTGCGCTTGGCGCCTAGGTTCTGGTCATCGTTTTCGTTACTGCCACCTTCCTTGTCCGATACATTGGCACTCTCTGAGTCCTTGGCATCATCCTGTGATGGGTCTTGGGAATCCGGAGATAAACTAGGGTCACTACCTGTGGTGGCTGAGGAGAGGGAAAGGACTGGTGAGCAGGGGCTTTGGCAGGCCTTCCTCCCCACCCTCCCCTAACCCAGTTGGGTCCAGGCCTCACCCGAGTGGAGGCTGTTCTCTTTGGCGACACTGCTGTTGCTTAGGTAATCTTCTTTGCAGACGAACTTGTTCTCATCGATGATGTACAGCTCCTCGCCGGTGGAAAGCTGCTTGTTACACATCATGCAGGTGAAACAATTGAGGTGAAACACTTTGCTTCTCGCTCTCCGAACCAGATCGCTAGGAGAGATGCCCTGCGCACAACCGGCGCATTTGGTACCGAAACATCTGCATCGGGTGGGAGGAGATTGGAGATGGGCAGGGGAGACAGGATGAAAGAAAGATAGCCATAAGAAGTTAGAGAGAGGAGAGAGAGAGAGAGAGAGAGAGAGAGAGAGAGAGAGAGAATGACATGAGGATGAATTAGGCAGATGAAGCAGGAGAGAGCATGGATGCAGAGAAAAATGAGGAAGGAAATACATTCGATCAGAGCTACGGCCCAAACTGCCCTCCAGCTCCAACCTCATGCCCAGACTTTACCCCCAGGAAGAAAGCGTCGCAAGAAAAGGCGCCAAAGTGGCTATGGTGGCAGAAGGAAAAAGGAGCACGCATTTTCCGATTAGATTCACAGAAGTCAAATTAGAATAAGCGCTCCACAGAAATGCTCCCGGAGCGCCGCTCTTTTCTGCTAGCGTCGCCTTTCAGCACAAAAGGACCTGCTCACCGGCGGGGGTTGGCAAGGTCCGATCCCACCATGGGTAAACAAACACCGACGCCTGAGAGCCCTGGTGGTGGTGGGTAGCTGGGCTGCTGCCACATTCATGCGCAAAAGCCTGGCAGATTGGCGCAAGCGGGAGTCGCGGCCGGGTTGAGCTGGCTTTAAGTGCCCTGCTGAGCTTTGCGCGGAGCCGGGCCTCAGGGGCCGGCTACACGCGGTTACCGCTGGCTTACAGCTCTCAGACTCTGATCCAGTCCTTCCAAAGCCCGGCGCGCAAGCTCCAAAGCTCAGCATCCCCGCGGAGCAGTTTGCACCGCACTTTGCTCCACAGTTCCCGGGTAAACAGCAGCCGCGCGTCCTGGGCCTCAGGGCAAAGGGGCCCCGGTGGCCTCGAACTGCCTCCCGCATTTGATCTAGCACTACAAACTGTGAACACAGAAACTGAGATCAACGCTGTAAACTGGTAGATTTCAAACCAGTGGGATTACAATTTACATTTGAGACCTTTCTTCTCTGTTATATTTGTGGCAAAATAAAGAGTTTAAGAAAAGACAAGTAAAATGCTAAAAAGGAGGGGAGTATTGAGAATTTCCCCGGCTCCGACGAGCTATGTGTCCTAGAGGCGGCCTGTCTGGCGGGAAAGGATGTGGAGAGAATCTCCCCGACGAGGCCAAACCCAGACAGCTACTGTGCGATCCTCCCAGGTGTACAGAAAGGCTAACCCGGATCTGGGGCGGCTCCTAGGTGTGCAGGACTGGCCTCGAGGCCTAGTTCTTTATTAAGGCTTTCTTGGTTACAGGACATTCCACCCAAAAGGCTCTACGGTTCCCGCCAAGACCTCTCTGAGAAGGAAAAGGCTGAGGCTGGGAGAAAACTGGGGCTTCTAAGCTCAACCTGGAGGACCAGCAACCTTGGAGCCCTGGAAAAAGCAGTTGCTGGAGAGCTTGGCTTGGGGAAGGACTAGCTGGAGCTAACAACCTGAGGCTGCTGTACCTCTTCCAAGCTTGGGCTTCCACTCTGAGGCCAGCTCAGACCTTTTCTTCCCAGGCACGTGCAGCCATACCCGGAACACACTTTCCACTACCAAGCAGGGCGGTTATCTCGGCATGCCAGCTGCTAAGGAGATAGAAGCCCAAGGGATTTCGCTGCGTTTTCTAGGGAGAGTACCTAACGGCGCTGGTGTGGCCACGCTGACCTCTGATCCAAAGCTGGCCTGGAAGGGCCCGTGGGGAGGGAGCAGCAGAGGCGGGAGGGAAGTACTCACCGGAAGAAGTCGTTCTTACAGTAGAGCTTGCCTTCCCGGGAGAAGCACTTCTCGGTCAGATTGCATTTACATTCACAGCACTGCACGCACTTGACGTGCCAGGCCCTGTCCAGCACGTTCAAGAGGAAGCGGTCCAGAATGGGCCTTTTGCAGCCGGCACAGTGCACCATGGTCTTTGGTTTGGTCGGGTGAGGCCGGGAGAGGCAGGACAAGTAGAGCCGAGATGACTCCCGAAGACGATCAGCCTGAGCTTTCCAGCTCCTCCAAAAAAGAGGAGACCCACTCGAGCCGGACAAGCCAAAACCCGAACCAGGGAGAAACAAGATTGGTGGTGGGGCAACCTGGGAGTCCCAGGGCGTGGAATTGAGCAGCGCCACCTCAGCTCCCGAGGCGGTGAAAAGCAGTATCAAGCCGGTGAGAAAGCGGCTCTTCTGCCCAAAGCCCGTGAAGGAGTGAAGGTCACCGTGAACGGCGGCGGGAACGGAAATAAATAAAATTGAGCTGGAGACGAAGAGGAAGACGCGGAGAGCTGAGGGTCCGAGGAAAGCGACACTAGGTTCTCTCCGGCTTGAGGTAGAGCTGTCAGAAGTCAAAGTGCATCTGCTTTTGTTGGAGTATGAAGGCGGGTGTATGCATGCCGGACTGCCCACCACTGGGGTTTCCCCCTTAGAGAGAGAGAAAAAGAAAGAAAGAAAGAAAGAAAGAAAGAAAGAAAGAAAGAAAGAAAGAAAGAAAGAGAAAGAAAGAAAGGAAAGAAAGAAAGAAAGAAAGAAAGAAAGAAAGAAAGAAAGAAAGAAAGAAAGAAAAGGGAAAGAAAAAGAAGAGAGACAGGCGAGAGAAGCTTTGGATCCTAAATTGCCTGCAGCGAGCAGCGAGTCGGGACGCCGCGCCGGGCCTGAGCAGGGGGCGGGGGCAGGCAGTAGGGGAGAGAGGGTGGGCAGGGTAGATGTTGTTGATTGCAGTTGTTGCTTAGGCTTTTCCCCCCTTTTGGAGAAAGTGTTTTTCCCAGTTGAAAATGGAAAGAGACAACTTCTAGCGGACGCAGCCAGGCGCACTCGCTCGCACCCCACCGCCCCAGCCCAGTCACCTCAGCCTGTGGCCTGCCAGGCGGCCCTCCGTGTCCTGGGGTGGCCCTCCCTGCGCCCGGGCTCCTTCGGGGAGGCAGTAGGGTCTGGCTCTTCACCGCGCCTGGCAGTGCATCCCGGCTTCAGTCACAGCTGGCGGCCGCTTGGGCGCGCATCCCCGCATCGCTTGGCCCACGCGCCTGCCGCCTGCGTCCGGCCCCACAGTCGCTGGACTTGCTCCTTTTCCTCCCTCCCCCCTCTTTTTTTGGTTGTGGTGGCAAATCTGGGTTTCCTTTCTAGTATCCTTCTTTCTGCCCCCCCCCTTTTTTTTTCTTTTTCTTGTTCAACGGGAGGAGCCAGGGGGCGGGTGAGTCTTGGAGAGCTTTGGAATAAGGTCCTGGTGCAGCGGCTACAGTAGGCCGGTGGCGGGAACAGTTCTGCGCGGCTGGCAGCTGTCGCCGTCCGGGCCGCGGTTCCAGTTGGCTCTCTCCGGGCTCGCGCCCCTCGGTCCCTGGACTCCTGGCCCAGTCCGCCGCCTCAGCGCGTCTCTCCCCAGCTCCAGCGGCTCGGTCACTGCTCCTGGCTGTTGGCTGAGCTCTGGAAGACCCCTCGCCTTAATGCAGCGCCCGCCGACGTCACGGCGGCCTACGACCAATCAGAGCCTCGCCGTCCCTCTGTAAACCATTCTGCATCCCCCTGGCCCGGGAGAGTGCCCGGAGACCGCGTTTAGAGGATCAGTGGCGGCGGCCTCGCGCGGCGCGGGCGACAGGCGGCGAGGTGTCCAGGCCCTTTCCAGGTTTGGTAAGGCGTCGGTTTCAATGGGAAGGATTGGGAGGGGGCGGGAGGAGGCGCAGGAGGGGGCCAGAGTTCTGCCGGAGGGTAGGGGCAATTCTAGAATAAGTCTTGTTGGGGATGGGGTGCGGCTGGGTCTGGAAGCCTGGGGGTCCAGCTGCACCGCTCCGCTTTGCGGTGCACTAGGCGTTGGCAGCCCGCTCCCCTTACTCTTCTGATCTGAAAGTTGCCCCAGGCACAGCGCTGGTCTTCCCCGAGTCTTCGGAGACGTAGGGGGCACTTGGCAGCTTGATCTCTCTCCTGCGGTCCCCCTTTCTGGGCCTCCTCCCCTAGTCCATCCAAAGTCCGCAGGCCCCGGGTGCCCTGGAGACGCGAGTGTGGGTCTCCCGCTGCGTTCTCCGGGCGGGGGGGGGGAGTTGATTCGGGCAGTTTCCTGAAGGGGGCGGGGGAAACCCGAGGCACGGCGCCCGGTTGGAGGAGTGGGTGGGGTAGCGCCTCGGGTGAGGAGCTGCAGCTCCGGCGAGAAGCTGTGAGAAAATTGTGATCCGGAGACACCTTTTACAAACAAAAACAAAGGAGTAGGTGGGATTCCGCAGGGTCCCGCCTCAGGGGACGGGGTGGGGAGGTAGCGGCGGGGTGCCACCCTCGGCCGGCAGTGGGTGGAGGCGTGCAGCCCCAGGGCAGCGCAGGCCGGGCTCCCAGTCCTTCCGTTTTCTAAGCTTCGGACTAGCACGCTTTCCCAGACACCGGCTGACCTTACTTCACTCCTTAGAGACCTTACACTTTCCTAGTGCTGCTCGGGTTATAAACTCTTGGCCATTGCCTACCGGGGAGGGGGCGGATCTGCGTAGATGGGAGGGGAGTCATATCCTGGTCTTGAGAGCTAGAGCTTTCAGAAGGTCATTCTAGTTCCCTGGCACACTCAAGTCAACACCTAGATTCCGTAGCGACCGCATTTTTTTTTTCTAGGCTTATCCCAAATTTGTCCCAAAGTGGAGCCTGAAGGTAGAGTTATGGGTTCTTACCCTCTGCTCCTATTTTGGGCAAAATGATGTTAAGAAGGCACATGGGCCCAACTGTGAAGGAGGGGAGGGTGGCCCTATAGCCAGTATACGTGATATTTCGGAATCTTTTAAAATTCCTTCAATTATGCACCAGGTAGATCTTCCACACCAGACAGCAGGGCTAAATTAGGAGAAATGCGCGCGGAAACGCAGTCCACCTGGCAGGGAATCCGGCTCTGCAAGTAAAATAAATACCCTCTTCCAGCGAACACGGAAGAGCGGCCATGAATTTGACTTCCTTCGGTGGGATTGTTGGCTTTTAGGGCTGTCCGTTTTTTCTGCCTCTGCGTGCACCGCCCTGCAACCCCGAAGGTCCTTCGCAGCCTCTGCCTTCGCACCGGCTTAATCTTTCCTTTGGAAACCATACTCAAGGGGTCCTATGGTATGCCTCTATGGCGTTCTGCCCTGTTCACACCCTCCCCCCGCCCCACCTCACCTCTGAGTGCCAGGCCTCTAAATGCTTTCTAGTACCCCTTTGCACTTACAGACCTGGGCTGGGATAGAGCAGCTGTGAACCAAAGTAGCGCAGTAGACTGGTTAGCTTTCCAGCAGCAACTTTCTGCCGGACTCAGGGATGCCCAGGGTTTAGGGAACCTAGTTCTCCCACCTAACAGGCGGGCTCTGCGGTCTCGGACTTGGCTTCTCGCTCATCCTGCGGACCTGGACACTTCCTGGAACCAGTCTAGTACCCAGTATTCTGGCACCCTCGAATAACCTTGGAGCGGGGCGCCTCCTAACCGGGCGCGCCTAACCTAACCGGGGGCGCCTCCCAGACTGCTGCTAAAGTGAGGTGCAGATTGGTCCCTACGCTCTCTGTTTCAGTGCTAGCTGCAAGCGCCCGGGGCTCCACCGCCCCTTTCTATCTATCCCGGTCGGAGTCGGAGTCCTAGCGGCTTATCCCAGCAGCTGCTGGGTTCCTACGCGTGCAAAACAGGGGTGGGGGAGCCATTGTCGTGGGACCTGATGGGTGACAGCTGAACTCTTCTACCTGTACTTTCCGAACCTAAAACCTGCACCTTCCTTCCATGGGCATGGAGAGGTTTATCTGTTAGGGGATTCAAGGACTTTGAGACCCAGATGTGGGGAAAGAGGATCCCTTTGAGAGGACGGCATAGCGCGGGGCACTGCAGTTGAGGTGAGGACAGGACTCTGGTCCTAGGGCATAGAGTTCTGCTTGGCCCAGGTATCCAGATGGCGCAGTAAACAGGTACCGGAGCCAACTCTGGCGTGGCGGGGTGGAGGGTGTTGAGGAGGGTAAAGCAAGGTGTATCTCTTGGCTCCTTGATTTTATGTTTAAAGTCCAGATTAACGCTTCCACCGTGACAGCACACTAGACTCGCCCCCCCCCCCCGTTTTCATTGAGCTTTTCTTTTAAAATGTAATGGGCAGTTGAGACATGGAGAGCAAACTGATCCAGCCTTCTAAATTCTCTATCTCAGAAGCCATTCAGCCCAGTTCTGCATACACTCGTCCTTTCAAGGAAGATTCCCAGCCTTCCCTCCTCACCTACAAGCCACACTGTCAGAGACCTCAACAACTACACAAGCGCTTGCCTACCCTCCATCCTTCGAAGTCACCCAGACCCACAGCCACTTATACCCTGGGCAGGTGCTGTGAGATTCAATTTGGACGCCTGGCCATCACTCTGGTCACAATCGGCTCAGCCCGATTCCCAAGGCACGGAAGGAAAAGGCCCCAGAGAGCCCAGGAAGTGGCTTCCACAGTAAGGTTTCTCTTCAGAGATCCCAGAAAGTCAGCTGGAGAACTGGGAGTGGAGTGCGTTCTGCCAGCCCTCCCCACCCTCAGGCATCCTCTTAACCCCCTTGGTGCAGAGCCCACCCCCCACATCCCGAGTGACCCGGGCCAAGCAGGGACTATTCTTTCTTAGTCACCGTCCGCCTCTATTTGATTCTCTGAGAGCAGCCGCTTCCTTCCTCGCTCTTCACGCTTGAGTCTAGCCTATGATTTCCAGAAAAGGGTGATGAACGTGAAAGTAGGCGCCGAGAAGGAGGAAGGAAACCGCTAGCTGGATACATCTGCGACCCTGCGGTTAGAAGCCACGCTAGGCCCGCACAGGCTAGTAAAGACCCAGCATATGCAACCCAGGGGGTTTGCTCAGATGGAGTCTCCCGGATCTGATTGCTGTCTCCCGAATCCTTCCCCTACCCTCTCTGGCGGTAACCCCTCTTAATTGCAATACTTTCTAGTTTATATCACTGTCTCCCCTGAACCGTATTGTAAGGGGGTTAGAGGACATGTGGGGTGCATCGCTATTATCTACACTTTCGGATACAGGAATCCCCAAGTAAGAGGTTCTGATCTTCCGGTCGCTGCACCACGGTCGCTGAGAAGGTGGGGGAGGTGGGCCTTGCCACCGAGCTCCAGTGTGTACTTTGCTACGGACCGCGTTTTCCAAGCAGAGCTTGGGAGGTAGTGGAGGAGGAACAGCGAAAGAAAGGGCAGCCTCCAGCCGGACGTCACGGTGTGCGCTTGGCCTGGGTAAACAACGCTGGCTTCCCACGAGGGCTAGGACACTGGGCTTGGGGAGGGGGCGGGTGGAGCAGCGAGGTCGAGCGTGCTGATCTCGGTCAGAGCGGCAGAGCAAAGATGATTGTCTCGGAAGGGAGAGGGTGTGTTGGAGGAGGAGGGAGACAGAGTGAGGAGAAAGAGCGGGAAAGAAGAGAACTACAGAAAAAGCAAGACCGTATAAAAGGAGGGAAGATCTGTCAAGAGAAATACAAGTAAGAGTAAAGCAAAAGAAATGGAAAAGAAGCCCTTGGACTGGGCGTGGTGGCGCAAACCTTTAATCCCAGCACTTGGGAGGCAGAAGCAGAGGGATCTCTGTGAGTTCAAGGCCAACCTGGTCTACATAGTGAGTTCCAGGCCATCTGGGACTACGAGACCCTGTCTCAAAAAGACCAAAAAAAAAAAAAGAAGAAGCCCTTGGTGGACTTGGAAGGCTGAGGCAGGAGGATTACCTCAAGTTCAAAGCAACTACAAACTGAGCTCCAGGCCATCCTAGACTACAGAGTAAGGCTGTCTCAAAAAAACAAAACAAAACAAAAAAACAAACCAGAAAGATACCAGTGGGAGGAGGGGAAAAGCCAGTAAAAAGAAGCCAGTGACTGAGGACTCTGAAGCTCCCATCCGGGGCTTCCCCTGGGACCTGAGTGTGCTGGGTGTGTGACAGGCGCATTCCTGGGCGGGAGAAAAGGAGGCAGCAGTCTGTTTGGTGGGAGACTCAGCACCCGTGGAAAGCGTGTGAGCCGCTCTGGGCAGGAATCCAACGAATAAATAAAACGTCTAAGACGGCGTGACAACAATGTGTATTTGGGTGCGTGCCCATGTTCCTCTGTTTGAGCACACACTCACACCCGTGAGGAAGACAAACGGGGCTCCTGCCTTAGAGTAATTAATCCTCTCACTAATTGACTCTCTCCCCTTACCTAATGGTGGTGGTCACTGCCGATAACTGTAGAGATATCAAGTGGGGTGGAGAGAGGGGGGGAGAGAGATACCCCAAAGCTAATAGCCTTTGGGACTGAGAATGAGTTCATTCTAGAGTTGGCAGCTCAAGGCTTTTTTCCTTGGCCTCTGCTTCCTTTTGGGGCAGAGTTCAGCAGATGTTCCTACCTTGCCTATCCAGGTTTGAGCAATATTAGTAAAGGTCTTCTCAGACCAGATCACACAAGCTGAGGCCCTTCTACAGCCTTGCAGTTGGGGAGCTCAGTCTCTTAGGCCAAAAGTCACCCACTACCCCTCTGCTGGACACAGAGCACTTGGCAATCCACGACTCCACCTCTTCTATTCTTCCCCAAGGGCCCAGATCCTGAGTATCACCTTGATTGAATCACTACTCACTGTTCCAGGACCTAGGCTGTATGTATCCTGCAGTCCCTAACAGAACTGGAGAGGATTGGGATGGGCTGGGAGACAGCCTGGGCTAGATGGAGACTAGTGGAAGGGAGGAGGCTAGGGAAAGGGTAAAGAGAACTGTCTAGAGCTAAACCTCCTCACAGAGCAGTTGTTACCTGGCAAGGGTGAGTTCTCTGGGGACAAAGGAGGAAAAAGGAGGACACTGCCTAGCAGAAAGAGTATGCCGTATATGTATGTGGGAAGGCAGGCAGGCATGCCTCTGTGCCTATGTGATAGCCCTAGTGCCTCTGTGGGCATGGAGAAGGCTCAGTCTGCTTCCCAGCACCCTCAATTCTCAGGACTGGGGAGCAGGGACAGAGGAGAGAGTCAGACTTTTATCTGTCATTTGGCATCAGAGTTAGCTGAAAGCACCCAAGGTCCACTGTGTCTGCTGAAGCTTCTAGGCAAAGTGGTAGCTTTTCTCTGTTAGCCTCCTCAGAGGCTAAGTAAATAGATGCAGAGACTCAATTCAGGGTAGAGGAGAGGGGTGGGGTGGAGGGCAGCTTCCTGAACCCCTACCTCAACTCTACTAGACACATTCTTAATCGTCCCTTGGGAGCATTTGTACATTTGACCAAAGCAAGTCCACAGCAGAATTAGTTATAGAAACTAGAGGTCCAGAGAGAGTTGAGGGTGATGGGAGCCAGAAAAGATGGCCAGCATGTTTGAGAAGGTGAGAAACTTGGCTCCCCTCTCACTGTCTCTGTCATACTTTACAGACAAAAAAAAAACAAGCAAGAGAAATAAAGTTCCAGGAGAAAGAATGAGAAGGGCGTATAAAAGGCAAATAGAAACCAGAAAGGAAAGAAAGTGAAGAAAAAAGAGAAAGGCAGGGAGGTGGGGAAAGACTATAATAAAAGAGGGTGAAGGCGGCCCCAGGAGGCTGGGCCTCCTCCCAAACCATCCGTCTTCATTGTCTCCGTGTGTGCAAAGGCAACTCTGGCATAAGGAAAAGCCACTATTGGAGCCGCGGCTTTATTTTATATCCTATACATCAGGAGGGAGGCAAAGCTTTATTTTCGCCAAGAGACAGATATTTTATTTCTCTCTTACGGTTTTATGTGTGAGAGATGTCAGGTTGCCACAATGGATGGCTAATGCATAGGCAAGAGGAAGCCGTGTTGGCATGCTGTGTGTCATGGGGTCTTGGGGGGGGTGAGCAGGCCTGGGATTTAGGGCTGATGGGACACTCTGGGGGATTTCTGCTAAAACATCTCTCTTCATAAATCCACAAGCATGGTCAGCTCAACAGGGAGAAGACGGAGTTTTAGAGGGAAAAGAGTTGGGCTTAGTAATAAACGAACACACAAAGGAACCACTTACCTTCCAACAGGCTTGGGCAATGGGGGCAGACAGCCCCATGGAAATGCTGAACACATGTGCTATTCACAGGGAAGTATGTTCCTGACAGAATTGTGTATGTTTGACTGCTTTTTTCCTGTTTTGTATGTTTCTGGTTTCTGTCTTATATCCCCACCTTCCCTTCTCCAGAAATCTTTTTAACCTCCTCAGAGCCTTGGGGGCAAAGAGCTATTAATTTACAAATTATCTGATCTCTAAAAGGATCAAGATGCCTGTTTTTCACTGTTACATCTAATGTCTTATATGGATACACACAGAACACACAAGCCCACCATACTGTGAACACTTCAGTATAGGTTCAGATTAGAATCCAAGAAAGACCCCCACTTGCCAACCTGTCCCCAAATTAAACCTCAGATCTCAAAGTGCATCATGTTCATGTTTTTAAGCCCCAGAAGACAAAAAGGTCAGTGAGGCAGTGGGTTGAGGGGAGTCTTTGAATTAATATGTCCATATAGGACTCAGATTTAATATCTCCCTTCCTTGCACCTCCAAAAGCCATTTCTTGTAACAGTAACTTTCATTCATTTTCCTGTTCACTCTTCAGTTGTTTGATGTCTTGGTTTATATCTGTTACATAGCAAAAGGCTACTTGTGTTCTTTGCCTCATTTCAGGGGATCTCAGGCAGCATAAGATTTCTAGACAGTGAGCAGGGTGACCTGGCCACACTGTCCCCAAACTCTGAGGAAGCTATTTAACCTTTCTGGGCCTCAGTTTCCTCATCTATAGTGTAGTCGATTGGGCTACATGATTGCTGAGGTCCCTTCCAGCTCTGACTTCCTCTGACCGAATGAGATAATGTGTGAAAACACTTTGTAAGCGCTAAAGCCGGACGAATGCCAGGGATTATTATTACGATTCTAATCAATCCTCTTTTCTCCACATGGATCTTGGCTGTTTAGCACCAGCAAGCAGGCTAAAGAGGGCCCAAGCGAGAAAGCTTAACGGAGATGGAAAAGCTCTGCTGAGGATGGAAAAAACCTGCATCTCCAGAAACATTCTGTCTCTGTGCCCTCAGAGCCCGGGTGGGCAAGGGTGAGCAGGTGGAGAAGCCTGATACTCAGAGAAGACCCATTCAGTCTATGCTGTAGCAGAGGGTATATTTCTTCAAAAACATCATTTGTTTCCAAGTGACTGATATAGGAACCTGATGGGAAGGCGATTTGCAAATTTTTTTTCCAGGAAGAAAGGAAAGAGCAAGGTGTAGCTGATTAGCAAGTTAATTATTTCAGTACCCCAAGGGTTCCTGTGTGGTGGTAAGTTGTCCAGCCCTGGGGTAATTTCACACTCTATGCATTTCTTGGTGAGCACCTGGGGTGTCTGAGTCTGTCTCTGTCCACCTGCCTTGTACCTTCTGTCTGACACACCTGGGGGTAGGGCCTGGGGTGGGAGATGGTATGATACAGGCTGAAGGTGGACAGAAGCTTTTGAGATGCCTTCAACCTCCCCTGAGCATTTAGTTACACAACTCTTCTTCATAAAAATAATTTGTTTAATAAATATTAATGAGGTGATTATCAGTAAGTAGTATGACTATGAGGTGCTGTCCCCAGCTTTAGTCTGAAGATAAACTAGGGTGAAAGAGCCCTGGCCTCTTACCTCCTCCCGCCTGGCCAGCTCTCCTAAGCCCTGTTTGATTTCTCACCTCTGGTCACCACTTGTTCTGAAGTAGTCTCTTCCAGTCTGACCTCCCCTTAGGGAGGGGAGGGTGGATTGTGTGGTCAAGGGGACATCTTCCCCAGAGAGATAAGTTGGAGATGTGAACATAAGCCTCAGAATTAACAGCTTCTGCCTCTACCTCTAGACTGGCTTCCTGCTTCCAGTATGGGAAGGCCAGTCTCCTGCCTTTCCTTCTGAGCTGGGCTATGGGAAGGCTCTCCAGTTTACATAAGAGTGGTCCCATCTGCTCAGACTGGCCTTTCATAAGGGGAGGGATTTATGCAGCATCCTTGTGCATAGATCTGGGATTTGGCTGAAAACCTTGGGCCTCTGAGAATATTGCCAAGCATTGAAATGTTCAGTCATGAAGATGATTCATGATTTTGTCTGTGTGAAGCCATGTGTGTGTGTGTGTGTGTGTGTGTGTGTGTGTGTGTGGTGTGTGTGTGTGGTATGTGTGTGTGTGTGTTGGGGAATGCACACATACTATAGGATGCTTTCCACCCTTCCCACATTGAATCCAAACATTAGAAACTTCTTTTTCTTCTTTTCTGTATTCTCTCAGGAGACAGCCTTGGAGAGCCAACTTCCCAGCTTCAGCAGCATGAGAATAACACAGTACTCAGCTGGTGCTGGCATTCAGCTGTTTCTGCACAGGTTGGCTGCTACCCTTGCTGATGGAGAGGGGCTGGAGGTTGTCTGAAAAGACATTGCTGATGACCACTTAGTTGGTAGTAGCAGGATTTGTAGAGTAGAGGTGAGTCCAATTATTGTTCAAATTAGACTTGGCTTCCTTTACTTCATAGTCCTAGGAGGTCTGGATAGGACAAAAGGTAGTGAGAAAAACTTTAAGGGCAGGAAGACAGACTGAGGGAGGAGTTCCATGCACCAAGCTTGCCTAAATGAAGTTCAGGGACACCAGGGAGGTTCCATGTGGAATCTTGGCCCCGAGTCCTGAGCAAATTTGAAAAGACCTACAAGTGCCATTTATTTATCATCTCTGGAATAAAAAGTCATTTCTTTTCAGTATTGGTGGCTGGTAAGCTCATACAAATCTCTTCTGTAATTCCAGCACCTTTCTGCTTGTATCCCAGGTTGGCCTCGTAGATGGAGAGCCCGCCTTCCTAGCTTGCTAGTTTTGCTTTGCCTTATGTCCTTTTTTTTTTTTTTTAAATTTTTATTTACTATTTTTATTTTATGTGTACGAGTGTATTGCCTGCATGTAGGTAAGTGCACCCGTGTCATGCAATGCCCACAGAGGACAGAAGAGGCTGTCAGATCCTCTGGGACTGGAGTTACGGACAGTTGTTAGCAGCCATTTGGGTGCTGGGATTCAAACCCAGGTCTTCTGCAAGAAGTGTCAGTGTTCTTAACCGCTGAGCCATCTCTCCAGCTCTATCCTTATGTCCTTCTTAATAGAAGTGGAGCTGGCATCCCAGTCCACTGGCAAGCCTTCATTCTGGAAGGTGAACTGGCAGTTCTGCGCCTAGATGTGTGCTTGTTCTAATTTGGATCCCCAAGAAGATATAGTTTTCCCTTAAACAAGAGAAGCAGGGACCTGTTTCCATGAATCTTCTCAGGAAGGAGTCACCACTAATTTAATAAATACAATCTCCTTTTCCTCGATCTGAATGAATAACTTTGTCAGTCAACCCTAGGGTCTGTCAAGCTATAAAAATGCTTGGTTTGGTCTCCTGTTTAGCACATGCTGGGGTTTGGGCCTGCTTCTGACAGACTGGGAGGAGCAGACACATTCCAGAGCCCAGAACCTGGAGTGTTATCTCTTCCCCCACCCCAAATCCTCACCACCCCTTTATCTCCCACAGATGCAGAGGCCTCCTAGGGAAGTGTGAAGGGAAAGCCTTAACCAGAGTTGAGGAAAGAAGAGCAAGAAGGGGAGCCCAGAGAAAAATGAGGACAGTTGGAATTTTTAGATGATACTCTTTTGGTATATGTCTCGTGTGTTGTGTGTTATATTCTACAAATTTCACATTCGTTTCAGTAATCTGCAGTGTGTTATGTGAACCAGCCAAAACAGTGTTAAATAAAATGGTAAGAAATGATACCAGGGCTTTGCATGGGTTATTTAATTCTATCAATGATAAACAATGTTAATATGCAGCATCTCGCCCGGCACAATATCATGTTTCATTTATATATGCCAAGACATATTTAAGCATGAAGGATACTGTTTCCCGACACATACATTTCCCGATGATTACTTAAGAGAAGCGTGATAGAAACGGCCAAAATCTCTTTCACACATAAACCTGCACAGACATACACACAGACTGTCTGTCACACACAGTTGCACATACATATTTTCATCTATGCGCTTTCACTGGTAAATGTAAATGCGAATTTAGTTTTATGCACTTGTACACCATTCCAGGTACATGTACACAATTTCAGTCTCTAATGCATTTACACATATTTTCTTATACAGATACTTAGATTGCTGCATAAATATCAACATGCATATCAAACCACATAAATCTTTACATGTATACATGTAAGTATGCTGGGTTCTGACTGACAAGATGTGTGCCCCATGCACAGGTGCATAGGCATCTTCATGTGTCTGTGTGTATTTGCACAGGGTACCCCCCCATGCTGACAGTCACTCCCACCCTTCACTTAGCCAAGGAGAAAGAATTGCCCTGAGCCCTTGGTGGCTAGTGGACAGATTTAGAACTGGAAATTTTGCATGTTTTCCTATTGAAGTCCAGAGGGCAAACTTGGAGGAACAGGGTGGAAATGCCAGCCTTCTTGAGCTCTGATGAAAACGTGAAGTATAGGCATGGGAGATAGACTTGAAAATCTGGTTTCTGCAGGCACATGCCTCTAAAAGACCATCTCCTCTTCCTCCTCTCCCTTCTCCCCCCTTCCTTCTCCTCCTCCTTCTCCTCCTCCTCCTCCTTCTCCTCTTTCTTCTCCTGCTTCTCCCCCCACCCCTGCCCCAAGGGTTTTACTATGCAGCACAAATTGGCCTAGAAATCATGCCTCAGCCTCCCCAATGCAGAGATTACAAGCCTGCCTCCACCATGCCCAAGTTAGTACCCCTTGGTCTTTTATTTGCTCATTTCACAGGTATTTCAGAGAGACATGTAAGGGTCAGGATAACTGATCAGCTCCTCTGGTTTTGGTTCTGCTATTGGTCAGCTGTGTGAGAGACTAAGTTGCCTCCGTTTCTGTATCTGTAAAGTGAAGTATTGGCCTACATGGTTGGTTCTCGTCTTTGACTGCAACAGCATAATTGTCTGGGGAGTTTTTGTTGTTGTTTTTTTTTTTAAAACACAGGTGCCTAGACTCCAAACTAATCAGATCAGCATCTCTGGAAGGAAGTCCTGCATCTTATTTAAAAACAAGAACAAAACTCCCAGGTGATTCCATGTTCAACCAAGGTTGAAAATCACTGGCCCAGATGATCTCTGTGGGTTCTCCTACCCCTAAAACTTTAGTCCCAAAGGACTTTTTACATATAAAATACCATGCTCGATCCAAAGTCCTCTTCTGACCATTCTAAATTCACTTATAGATCATAAAAAGTCATTAAAAGAATCACTTCAGTTTAGAAAGAGAATCATTTTGGGTAAACTATATTTACTCTGCAAAAAACTCATTCCTGCATTTCCAGCTGTTTGTTTTCTTTTAGCCCTTCTGTCTTTCTGACTCATTCATCCAACATTAATCATATGACACATATAGAAATGCTATAAGTGGGTACCTGATCAATGTTATAGATACCTTTAGCTAGACACATATTTCCTGTCTGGCTTCTCACCCAACCTGTTGGATAGCATGTTATTTTTAGCAGGGAAAATGAGAAGGCACAGGTCCCAGGTGGAAAGTTCTTTCTCTTCCCCAGCTCTGATTCAGAGAACACCAGCCCCCAGGCCCATGGCCCAGTTCTAATGCTGAAGAAAGTACTGAGCGGCATGTCCTAGAAAGCTGCTCTCAGACCTGGGCCTTTGGGAATCCCATGTTAATATCCAGCAGCAACAGTTCCCAGGCAGAGCTGGACCCCTTGAAAACAAACCCATTGGAGGAGGTGAGCCAGGCTGAGGCCTCGGAGATCAGCTCTGCTGTGCCTTTTTCCACAGAGGGTGTTTAGAAGAAAGGGTCTGCCTTTCACTGCAGGTGGCATGGGAAGGATTCCCAGTGTTTCCTCAGTGTTAGCACTCTCTCGGGTCTAATTTTCAGGTCTCTTAAAACTGGTTCTCTTTCCCATAGTCTCCATCTCTTCCTTTAGCCATCTTGTTAGAGCATTCTAGACCAGTTTTAAGTTTTGTTTTTCTTTTTTCCTCCCTCGTTTCCCTCCTTCCTTCCCCTTCTCTCCCTCCTTTCCTTTTTCTTAATGAGGAAGGAAGCCAGGGCTCTGTACATGCTAGGCAAGCACTCTACCACTGTGTTCCATACTGGACACTTTTCCTAAGATGCATTGTACCAACATGGTTGCTGTTATTCCTCTGTCCAGGTGAGCATGGAGTTAGTGACTGGGCCTGAGGGAGGACCTGGTAGGTCTGGGCTCTGATGCCTTTGGGCACCTTCTGATTGTCCATTACTGTTTGTCATTTTATTTTTTTTCCTTCTTCCATTTCCTTTTATCTCCTTCTCTCCTGATAACATTTTGAGTCAGGCTTTGGTCCCCAGGTAAGCCTACACAGAACAGGGAGAAGTTGTTGGCCACAAGGACATCTCAGTCTCAAACTGTCCATAGCCCCTCTCTCCCTTCTTCTCCTGTCCCCTGCAGGGCCTAGTACTAAGGAAGTAGCCCAGAGATGGTACAGGAGCCTTGGGTCCTAAATCCAGATCTAGAGAGCCCCTTCCCAGGGCTGCCTCCTCTGGGCCTGGGGAGCATCACACTCCAGGATGCCCCAGGACATGATGGATTCCCCAGGCACCTTCAAAGGGCTTAGCATTTGTTTGCAGTGTGGACCTTGAATCTTGCTCTGGTCGTAAATGTTGTTTATTTTGACTAAGACCTACTGAAAGGGAGCTGTGGGGCAGGGAGGGCAAAGAGGGATATCTGTGGGGCAAGCTCATAAAGCCATTAGCAAGATAGGGTTTGTAGGGGTCATAGGATCACAGAAATTTTCTAGCTGGAAGGAACACAGGCCATCAGGAAGGTCAGAGATGGTCATTATGTCTTCAAGAGGCGTCTAGAGGCCACACGGGGCTGGGGTGGGGGCTTGGGGTCTCTTATGTGGAGACAGGGTATGGGGCATGACCCCCCAATAACCTACCAGGTTGGGGAGACCAGGGGTTGCTAAACATGATGGATTTGCCCTCCTGTGGAAAAGAACCAATTGCTAGGCTATATAGCAGAGCCTCTTTCTCTGGGGAATGGGCATAGCTCCTGGGTAAAGAATTTTGCCTCCACTGTTATTTGCTGAATAGTTTATGTATACAAGGTAGTATGCTTTGTGTTCTTCCAGGACCTTGTCTTATTCAATCTTCAAGATAATTCTGGAAAGATGTTTTTAATCTTTATTTTGGAGCTAAGAAAAGAGAGCTGGTTTGTTCAAGGTCACACAGCAAGTGAATGGTAAGGCTGAGATTAGACCTTAAATTTAGACTCTCTCTCTCTCTCTCTCTCTCTCTCTCTCTCTCTATCTCTATCTCTCTCTCTCTCTCTCTCTCTCCCCCTACCTATCTCTCTTTCTCTGTCTCTCATTGGTGTTAGGGATTGAACCCAGGGTCTTCGGGATATCAAGCACATGCTACACGCATGAGCTATACATCGAGCCACAAGCTTGGAGTTCTTTAGACTCATCTCCCCTTCCCTTCTGCCATCCACTATGGTCTAGTCCTCTGCAGCCTTAGAGACCAGAGAGTAGGGTTCTCCTCCCTGTAAAGCACATGCTGATCTACAGAAAGCTCAGGAGCAAACTTCCTTGTAGGGCAGGACAGCAGAGGCTCTGGCTGACTTCTTCCAGACCCTGGCACAAACTCAGCTCACTCTGCAGAGAGCTTGCGCCTACAGGTCCACCTAGCCAGGAAACCATCCTGGTTGTCTTTCTCTGCTGTGTGACTCAGATCAAGTCACTTTACCTCTCTGAGACATACTTTCTGGATCCATCTCCAGGCTGAGGGTCTTTGTGGAAGATGAGGGAAGAAGTGGTGGCTAGCTGATTCATTTTGTACCCCTCATTTTGTGTCACAGCTGGGGAGAGATGAGAATTGGTTTTGCCTCTAAACTGAACTTGGATTACAAAAAGATATCTCAAAAGCAGGCAGGGCAAGGCAAGGCTTGCTAAGATCCCCACTGAGAACGTGAGAGACTGAGTACCATGGCAAAGGCTGGGCCATGCAGAGGCAGCTTAAGCAGAGTTCCTCCCTGTTCCCCTGACTGTGTAATCCAGTTGCTCAGAGAATGTAAAATCCCATTCTCCTCCCCCACAAAGGCCTCCTAATAGGCCTGCCAGCTTTGGGGCTCTAATCTGCCCAGGCATCACTCTGTGAGCAGGTTGCCGGGGGTATCCATTCCAGCTGCCCATTGGTGGGAGATGGGAATGGTTGGGGCTGTGACATGGGAGTTGAGGGACCTCCTGTTCTCTAGCTTGCCCAGAAAATCAGAGAAACAAATGGGCCTTGCTGGTGAGGAGAGAATCTGAGACAGCTGCTCCGGTACAGGGGCTCAGGGGCTCGGGCTCAAGATGGAGGGAGGTGAGCAGAGAATTGGGTGCCCTGCCTGGGCTGCCTGGGCAGGGAGCCTTATTAAGCAGCCCATCATTTTATCCACCATCTCCCTTTTCTTTTTACTTAAAGACAGCCCCTCCCACACCTTCGCCTCCCCCACCCCCTCATTTTCTCTCATCCATCCACCCAGTGCTGACAGCTGCCCTGCCGATGAACTCCTGGTCCTCCTGCACTGGAGACAGGGCAGGGGCTCTG